GATGGACTCAAGTGTGGCAGCGGTAGTGAGGTTGGCCCAGGATCAGACATTGTTTCATTCTGCTGTGCATGGGGTCGCTATGAGTCGGTTCCGACTCGATAGCACCTGATAACAAGAACAATCTAATCTGTAGGTCCAACAGTGGATTGAGTTCTGAATCTTCTTCAGTTGTTGTCTTTGTCTCTTGACAGCAGATTTTTACTTATTGTGTTTATGTGTATCTGTCTACCTCCTAACTATGCTTGAATATCAAATACGTAGAATAGTAGAGGCTGAGTTAAATAGTGTCTGTGCCTGGAAATGGACATACCTCTTCTGCTGTTAATGTGGAGAGCTCAGTGAGTCTAGCCAGAAGTTAAGCTGGGTTTTGTTGTGATTTGGTTACTTAGTGCATCATAGGCTTTAATTGTTTGAATGCTAGGCTGCATTACTTTTGCTGAGTTTGGAAGCTTGGGTTGCTAGTGAGCTTTTTCCAACGGCAACTCTTCCTCAGCTGTAGACTAGCGATAGACTCCTGCTGGAGTTGGAGACGAACTCTGTTCTTCTGATTTAACCTCAGTCTTTTGAAAACTGCATGTATCTGGACTTTCTCAAGAGTTTCTGCCCTCTCCCTGTGGCATCTAATCTTTGCCTTGTAACTTTGATTAGTCTTGGGCAGGGCTTCCCTGCCTCTCACCTCACAATAGGAGACTTTTGCTTGATTATAAATATAGACTCTGAGTTTTACGTTTCTTTGCCTTTCTTGTTTATCCATCCTGGCATAAATGATTTTTTTCATATTCTTCCCCCTGGGTTTATGTGTTGGACTGGTAGCCACAAGGTTAACAGTTCAAGCGGAAAAAGATGAGGCTTACTACTCCTGTAAAGATTTACAGCCTTGGAAATTCAGTACAGAGTAGATACGAGCAGCAACTCTTTACCCAACCACAATACAGGTATGTCTTTGCTTGTTCTCATGGGATGGCAAGCTTTGCTGCCACTCCACCAGAGACTTAACCCATTATGCTTTGTATGAGAGAAGGACCAAGGGAGCGCAGTGTTTTCATGCCTGTATTGTCACTACCTTGCTGTGAGCACCCAATGGAAGTTGATGGGAGTTTGCAAGTGAGTATGAATTCTCTCTTATCTGGAGTCTCTGGCTATTCCATACTGATATCATAGGGACCCCCACTTGGCCTTGGGCTCCTTTCTTCTTGTCATCTTGGGTGGTGGCTAATGCCTCTTCTCCCCATGTTCTGCAGCAGGTGAGTCCTATTTCTCCTTGCAGAGGGGCTAATTTTACTTACTTGGGTACTTTGTGACTTCAACTCTCTAGTGAGCTCAAGAAAATCTTTTTTAGTTTATCCAACTTTTTTTTATTGTTAGAGTTGCTGTGTCCTTCTTTGCAGCTTTCTGAACCCCAAGTCCTTTCTGAGAAAATTGGTTTTGAGCTCTTATGTCAGAAACTATAGTTGGTAAAACTGTTCTAATAGGGATCATATTAGAAAGTCTTGGACATAGTGGTAGAAAAAGTGGAACAAAACTCTAAATTCTGAAAAAGATCAGGTATACTGGTCAAAAAGAGACTGGAGAAACCATCGACTATCTATGGCCCTTAATCACTGGAACTGAACTCACTCACATTTGTGGTTCAGTTTCTAGCCAAGCAATAGCTAGGTGCGTAGGGGAAACAACACTAGTGAGGTATACACACCATGGAATGGTCAACCATTCAAGATCAAAAGGGCAGCATTAACAAATATAGCGCTCAGAAGGTTTGGAATGGAAACAAGAATCACAGGGAGGAAGTGGGATAAGTGAGGGAATTGAAGTCGTTGAAATTAAATGAAGTATATGATTTTTTTTAAACTGATGATCTGCTCTGTAACTCTTAACTCAATCCACAATAAAGCATGTAAATGTTTAGATATAGGTATATGTCTCTTGAGGCTTTATATATGCATACCATAATAGGGGAATTCTGGTGTGGCGCTGTGGGCTAATACGGCAGACTGCAAAATCATTTGAACTGCAAGGTTGGTGGTTCAAGCTCACCAGGTGCTCCTTGGAAACCCTATACAAGGTCACTATGGGTCGGAATCGACTCAACGGCACTTAACAACAACAAAACACCATAATACAAACACAAATAAATAACACAAACTTCAGTTTGTGGAAAAAATTCCATTCATTTAGTCCATTTTTCCGAGAACTCTTTGAATCCCATCATATATAGATGTACATATCTATTCCTATTGCTGTTGCACTGTAGGATAAACAGAACTACAGTATTTGTTTGAACCAGAAGGTCGGGACCTCAAACTCACCTGTTGCTCTTCAGAAACCCTATACGGTAACGTTATCAAGTTCTGTCGAGTTGGTTCAAACTTATAGCAAGCCTGTATATGATTTCTGAGACCAGCTAATGCATTTGAACCACTGACCTTTTAGTTATCAGTCTAGTGCTTATCCTACAGCGCCACACCAGGACTCTGTTATCTGTCCCTCTATTATCTGTATTTTTATTTATGACTCACTTCCTACTGATTAGAAAAGTAAATCATATATGTAAAATCTGTACAGCAGTAATCTCTTTCATATCCAGGATTTTTTCAGCACATTCTACATAATTATTACAGAAAAAACGTTTTCTATTCCAGTTGCATATACAAGGAGTTTCAAACACTTTGTGGAATAATGGAATTAAAAGATGTGTAATTTTTCCACGAACTTTTTGAAGCCCACTCATACTAGAGAATGTTTGCTCTTCCTCCCATCCCTGTGGACACAGAAATCCACTACTTTTTGCTCCCATTCTAAGGGACATTTCCAAAGTAACAGAGACAAAGTAACAGAGACAAGCATTAATTCTATGCATGAGAGACCTTATTTTTAATCTTTAATCATATTTTTTTATTTCCATAATTTGTTTTTATAGACAGCTGATTTTACTTCTGGAACTATACAGCCCCAGAGATGTGTATGACTATTTACGTCCCATTGCGCTGAATCTCTGTGCAGATAAAGTTTCTTCTGTTCGTTGGATTTCCTACAAGTTGGTATGTATTTAACTTTTAAAAAATAGATCATTTTATACATACAATGGAACCTATTTCTCAGTTCTCCATTTTAACACTCAAAGGTTAGTGAGATGGTGAAGAAACTGTACATGGCGACACCCCCAACATTTGGAGTTGACCTCATAAATGAGCTGGTAGAAAATTTTGGTCGGTGTCCTAAATGGTCTGGTCGGCAAGCCTTTGTCTTTGTCTGTCAGGTAAGCAGGAAACAGTTCACCATTTTTGTGACCAGTTTTCTCCTAGAACTGTTTTTTCTTTCACTCTTTGCCTGTCTCTCACACCCTCTTTCTTATCCTCAAGGAACAGAACTTTGGCATCTGGCTATTTATAGGATCACCTGTTCCCTCAAAGTTGGGTATCTGTCTGGTTCTTCCTCTTGAGCTACCTGCCCCTTATCCCTCTCAGTCAGCTGAACTCTTTATAAAGCTGGGAACATACCATAACCATCCACTAGAGGGTGCTCAGTGTCTATGGCCCATACTGAAGGTGTGAAGCTGAAGGTATGACTGAAAACTCCAGGCCTCCATGTAGCAGCTTCAAAATGTGTGTGGGGAAAGTTAATTATGTAATTTTTGCTTTGAGTTCCCAAGTACTGAAATATAGAAAGCAGTAACTATAATTTGTAGCACTTATGTTGTCATCAAAACATTTTGTTAATAACTAGTATTTTATAGCTTGGTAAATCAAATTTACAAAGAAATCTAAAGTAGTTTCTTCTTTTCACTAGACTGTCATTGAAGATGATTGTCTTCCAATGGACCATTTTGCTATACATCTGATGCCACATTTGCTCACCTTAGCAAATGACAGAGTTCCAAATGTCAGAGTACTTCTTGCAAAAACATTGCGACAAAGTCTACTAGAAAAAGGTAGATAGGCAACTCTATTAGAGAAAGTGGGAGGGGACTTTCATAGACTGCAGTGAGTAGGTAAGCATCAAAGCTGAAGTAATACGTGTTCTCTGAAAATAATGTGGTCAAGAGATAAAAAGGTGTGTTAAGAATGGTTTTCTCTGAAAGAGGACAAAGAAGATTCAAGAATAAGAAAGGTACTTGTATCACTTTTCTGTTCTAGTTGGAAAAAATAATTTTAACTGAGCATCATTTTTATATTGGAGTCCTAGTGTGGAGCTGCAGGTTAACGTGCTTGACTGCGGTGTCAGTTTGAGCTGCAAGGTTGGAGTTTCAAGCTCACCAGCCAATATAGGAAACCCAATATAGGGTTACTCATGGCCTTAACAACAACAGCAACATCATTTTCATAATTTCAAACTTAGTAATTTTTAAGAATTGGTTTTTTTCACTATGCAAAATCATGGCCTTTGGAAGAAGCCTGCCAGGTTTAAATCCTTACTGTATAGACTGGAAAATGCTTTTAATTTCCCTCCTCTCTATTCATCAAAACAAACCCAAAGTGATCTAGTCATTTCCAACTCAGGGACCCTATGAGACAGTAGATCTGCCCCATAGAATGTCCAAGGCCGTAAATCTTTATAGAAGCAGATTGTCACATCGTTCTCCCTTAATGCAGCTGGTAGGTTTGAACTCTGCCAACCTATTGGTCCAAAGTTACATACTTAACCACTTGCACCACCAGGGCTCCTTTTTCATCATCCAGCAGAAGACTTGGGCTCTACTGTGTTATGCTGCCAATTAAGAGTTCCTCACAATGCAGGTTGTTTTATTTATTGTAGCTCCCATCCCCCAAAAAAGCCCTTACAAATCTCAGTAGATATCAAAGAATAAGAATAAAGGAATGTTTCTTTTTCCTTCTTTGGAATTCATGTAAATATTATTTAATAGTAATTATCTTTTGCGGGGGAAAGATGAAACTCTCTGCTGCCATAAAGATTTATCACCTTGGAAACCGTATACTAGGTCATTATGAGTCAGAACCAATTAGACTGTACCAATTAGACTGCAACAGCAACAGTAATGAAGTGACTAGAGAAGACATTGGTTTGGTTTTGTGGGTCAGTAAGGAGCTCTGGTAGCGTAGTGGTTACGAATCGGGCTGCGAACCTTAAGGTCAACGGTTCGAAACTACCAGCCGCTCCGCGGGAGAAAGATGAGGCTTTCTACTCCCGTAAAGATTGACACTCTCGGAAACCCTGTACAGGGTCGCTATGGGTCGGAACCGACTCGATGGCACTTAACAACAAAGGGGTGTTTAGAGGCATTTTTCCATTTACTCCACTAATAAATGCCTTTAAAGTATAATGCTTTGATATATTTATTAGTTTAATACTGCTTAGCTGCCTTTGAAAATAATGAGATTTAATTTGTCATAAAAACCATCAAGATCTTAAAACTCTTGTATATTAGGATTTTTTTTTTTCTCATTTAAGACAAATCAGTTTAGAATATTATCATTCAACATAGCTTATTTATTATACGGTCAGAAAAATTGTGCTTTATAATGACTAAGAAATATTTATACTTGTACTTGGTAAAACTGTTAAATGTTAGACTAATTTTATTTTTAATGTGTAACTTCTCATTTGCAGAATATTTCTTAAATTCTGCCAGCTGTCATCAGGAAGCTGTGGAGCAAACAATCATGGCTCTTCAAATGGACCGTGACAGTGATGTGAAATACTTTGCAAGCATTCACCCTGCCAGCACAAAAATTGCTGATGATGCCATGAGCACAGCCTCTTCCACTTACTAAAAAGCTTGAATCTGTCTTTCCTGCCTACTAGAGAGCTGAAGTGCTTCTGATGGATAATCTGGGACAGTCATTTGTGAAGGAGGAAAGACTTTCCTCTCTTGCCAGACTTAATTGGAGGTGAAAGTCACATGTACCTGATACCAGGGATTTTAAGAGTCAAGAGAAAGTACAGCAAACACTATTATCTCATCTTGACTTTAGGGAAAATAAGTTCTCAGAGGATTATAATTATCACCGAAGCCTTAAATCCTTCTGTCTTCCTGACTGAATGAAACTTGAATTGGCAGAACTTTTCATTATGGAAGGGACAAGATCCCCAGAGATCTTCATTGCTGGCTTTATCTAATGACCCAGAGCCAGGATGTAAAAGAGACCTCCAGTGTTCGCTGTAAATGCTTTACCCGGGCAAGAACCTGTTTGGGTTCTGTAGCCTACCACCCAGCCCGTCCCAACATGAGAATAGTTCTTGATGTGTAGAAATGGGAGAAGGATATTTTTAGGGATTTCTCCTTAAGGGCTTGGCACTAACACTAAAGTACAACCTGATTTTAACTCTTAAATGCAGCATATTGCTGTACACATTTACAGAACTATCTATGTCCTGATTTTTTTTTTTTTTTCATTTTTCATGCTGGTCATGGCCTGAAGGAAACTGATTAGCACATATACTGTATGTCAGGTATTTGTAACTTGATCATGATCAGCTCTGAGGTGCAGCTTTTCCTTCACATCCTGTACATATCTTGTGACCGCTCTGCAGAGTGCTGCAGTCTATAATCATGCTGTTTAAAACTTGTTATGGCACAAGTTCTCCTACTTGTCCAAATAAAATTTATTAATGATATCTATATGGAAAGATATATACACTTTTGATTGTTTTCTAGATGTCTGCAGATAAATGTAATTTGTGACCTGTATTAATTATTTAGTTTAAAATGGGGAAATAAAATATTTGTCCTTTAAGTAATTTAGTAGTGTAGTTCTTGTTGTTGTTTTTAAGTAGTTTTGTACTAATGTGGACAGGATTTAACTCTTGGCACATAGCAAAGGCACCACTGGGTACTATGCCCCGGTCTCTGCTGTGGGCCCCACCAAAGAACTGTGGACTGAGTAACTGTCAGGAGTAACTGCCAGGAGCTTGAAGACAGTGGACTTGTTGATTCTGGGTTTGTGCAGAGGCTCCTGAGATACAACAAACTGTCTCTGAACCTTAATTTTTTTAAATGTTAAAGTAAGAATTAGTTAAACATGCCCTGCCTCCTACCAGGTTGCTTTGCAGTGAAATAACACGTGAAGGTGCTTTTGTAAAGCACCGTGTATAAATAACAGTTACTCTCATTAGCCAGACTGAAAAATCCTTGGTACATCAGAATCAATAACTTTGGATTTATGTACTCAGCTGGCTATTCTTCTGGGCTTGAAGTCAGTCAGAGGAGATCCTTTTGAACCCTAGGAATATAACTATGAACAAATCCCCCTGGGCAACAGAGAAATTAATGCGTTGGTAGGGATGGGACAATAAATAAAGCAGGATGAGGAGGTTGAAAAAACTGGTGGTCACAGAAGGTATCTATCAAAGTGGTAGTAATGCTGAGAGGAAGGGAAGGCATGATGGCCTGGTTTGGTGTGATTAAGCATGATTTTTGAGGTATGTATTCTCTGCTTGAATATGTCCCACCTGAATTTAGAGATCATCTGAAGAATAGATTTGTACATTAAACACTAAAGACCGAAGACCAGAAGAGTTGTGGGATGACATCAAGAACATGATACATGAAGGAAGTAAAAAGTCATTAAGAAGACAAAAAATAAGGAAAAGGTTAAAATGGATCTCAGAAGAGACACTGAAACTTGCTCTCCAACATAAAGCAAATGGAAGAAATAAGGAGGTACCAAGAACTGAACAGAATATTTCAAAGATCAGCTTGAGAAGATAAAGCCAAATATTACAGTAAAATGTGCAAAGATTTGGAATCAGAAAACCAAAAAGGAAGAACATACTCAGCATTTATCAAGCTGGGGGAATTGAAGTAAAAATTCAAGCCTCAACTTTCATTATTGAAAGATTTTCTGGGCAAATTATTGAATGATGCAGAGCATCAAGAGAAGATGGAATACCCAGAGTCATTGTACCGAAAGGAAATGGTTAATGTTCAACCATTTCAAGAGGTACCATATGAACAAGAGCCAATGATACTCAGGGAGGAAGTCCAAAATGACAACGATGATGTGAATAGAGTTAAGCTCAGGGGAGAAAAGTACACAGAACCTTCATTTGCTGATGGGCTGCAACTCAAAATGAAGAGAAACAGCTGTAAACATCCATTAAAAATCCTAAAATGTCAAAACGACCAACAGTGCCATCTTAGAATTTCATAAGAAGAAGAGTGAAAAGGGAAGCCCATTTCCTGATCACATCTATATGAAGCAATCAGAAAACATAAAAAATACAAAATATACACCCATCTAATTATTAAGGCCACAGATAACCGCTGACTATGCCCCCAAAACAGAAGCAGATGACCATATCTGCACATGTCCAGAAATGAGATAAAGTGACTGAGGCAAATGAGCTGGAAGTAGACCTACACTCCATACTAGAAGATGGGCAGGCTTTGGAAATGTCTGAGAAAGAATTCAGAAAAAGTGATTATAAAATGTATCAAAACACTATATAATGGAGTTGAGAAAAATAAGGGAGAAGTCAGGAAAGCACTACAGGAACAATCAAAAAAGATAGATACAGCACTGGAGGAGGGGCGGCGCTTCCCTGACCGGGCAAGACAGGTACGCGGGCTTGGGAGAAAGGAGGGGGCAGTATAACAAATAGGGGCCCCTGCCTGGTAGACAGACAGCTTTTGGGTAAACATAAAAACATTAGGCTGCAACTTTATGAACTCGTTTTTTTGAAGGATCAAACTATTGAGTTATGAGCATTTTTAACTTCCACCCGCCTGCTCTGGGCTCCTTTCTGGGGAAGGCCCCACCCACTGCAGAAACTAGCACGGCCTGAGCAGAACCATTCAAAGGGCTGACGCTCTCAGAGAATTGGTGGGGCAACAGGAACCAACATAGTCCATCTCAGGGGGGGTCCTCATTGCCACATTGGACATTACAGGCAAGTACATAGGACAAATTGGGGGGCTCAAGGCACAGGGAGACAAAGAGAGGCATTTTAGACGTCATCAAAAACAGACCCCATCTGCCTATAAGCACAAAGCCCATCCCCCACCTCTTTGGCCTAGGCCAGCCCTTTGCCCAGCCTCCTAGCCTCAGGCCTGCCCATCAAAGCATCAAGGTTTGGGCCAGCCCAAGCTGAGTAGCAGCTTAATACCAGTAACAAAACACCCCTGCTGTGGTTTAATCTACTAGACCGCAAAGCCTTTAGAATTGCAGGCATAGTGAAGGTCGCCGTAAAAAGTGGCTTGGAATTCCAGGCAGAAAGGAGACAAGACAGAGCTCCGGGATTCGGACCCACAGAGATAGGAGCGGTTTGGAGGCTTGTAGCCAGTAGAATTTGGAGCGGAGGCGGGAGGTCGAGCACCCTTGAGTCCGCCGGCCAGGCTAGGAGAACTGGGCCCACATCCTGGGCGAGACAGAGCGGCTGGACTAAATAGTGGCCGCAGAGACATCCCGGAAATGCTCCGCAGGAACATTTAGGGGAAAAAAGAGAGGTGCACAGTGTGCTTTGCCGATTTTGGGTGGTTCCGATCTTTTTTTCTTTGATGTCGGAAGTGGGTGCACTCACGGTTTGCCCACATACATCTGGGAGAGTGGAGGTAGGGGCTTAGCCGAGTGGCCGGGACCCACTCCCACCACTGGCACTTTCCTCTGCCAGGAGCTTACACACCCGGGCCAGGCTGAGACGTGGGTTTGGTCTGCCTCTCTTCACTGGTTTGAGAAGGACCCCAGCTTAGTGCTGTGGGGTGAGATGCTGCACTGCAAACTCTTTTGAACGACGAGGCCGGTGGGACAGAGTCTGTGGTTCATGCCCACCAGCCACTCATCGGAAACCTTATACAGGAGACACGGATGTGTGTCCTATTTGGTTGGCTTACATTCACTGGTTTGAGAGGCATCCCATTGTAGCGCTGTGGATAGGGATGCCACTGCAGGGCCTTTTGTTGTGCAGGGTCAGTGGTTCAAGCTCACGGGCCGCTCCTCGGATGTCCTGTGTGGGGGACGCGGATGCGCGTTGTATGTGGTCTGCTTTTGTGTTTTCACTGGTTTGAGAGGAGTCTGGCACAGTGCTGTGGGCTGAGGTGATGCACTGCAGGGCCTTTTGAGCTGCAGGGTCGGTGGTTC